AAAGCCCTGCCATTTCTGCCACTATATATAATATGGTTCCACATATTGCCTTACACTATGTTCTTTCTTCTTTGAGCTTGGACTTGATTTTCCATTTTCAGTCACTCTGGTTTTCCAACCAGCTGATTGATTGCTTGAGATGGATTGATTTCTTCTGTACAGTTGTAAAATATGAAATCGAGACAAGGTAGGCAAAATTAGTATTTAAGAACTCTTAAGTTTTGTTTTCCTGCCTTGAGCTAGAATGAAAAGCTTAAAAAAATCTTGGATTGGTGCCATGTTTAATTATTCTCAGATTTCTTTATAGAATTTAATTTCTTTCTGACATGCAGCAGCAAACCACAGAGTTGTATTTTTCTGCTGACATAAACAGAGAAACTGATTACTGGGAAAGTACAAATTGTAAAATAGATAGTAACATAAAAAGTGTTTTTTATGTCAATGGGCAAGTCCAAGCATACATCTCTCGACTTATAACTTTATATATATATATATAGAGAGAGAGAGAATTTAATTCTTCCAGTTATTATGTAATTTCTGTAACCTTGTAAGCAAGTAAATTAGAGATGCTAAGGAAAGCAAGTGTTTGATACCCAAACAGAAATAGGACTTATTTTTCTTGACACTTCTGTTTGTCAATTAAATTCAAATGTAGAAAATGTGTGGGGAGGATTGTTGGGAAAAGAAGGGGCAGTGTATGTATTGCTTGTGTTTTACAGCCAAACAGTTACTGTTCAGAAAATATATAGATGGGTGCAATTATTGCTACAGCTGTTACCACATAACAGACCAATGCAAAATCGTAATTTTTAGATTTCCTCTTCTATCCCCTCAACTGTGTTGGCATTATTACTGAGATATATTGCAATGTTTACGTTACTGACTATCAGTAAATAGGCACCAACCATTATAATTCCCTTCTTTGTTGTAGATTTGTTAAAAACTACAAAAAGAAATACTGGTTTCACATGTTGTCAAGAAGCTATTAATTCAGAATTCTTACCATTTTAGTTCCCTATATCAAGCACTCAGCTCATTTTTTCTATTTAAGGATTATCGCTTATAGTAATTCACACCTCATGTCCTCATTCTTTTTTTTTCTCTGTTTTACTTAGTTTCTTCTTTATTCTCTTTTCCACTCTAAAGTATGTGGTAGAATTCTGACTAATATTTTCAGGTTCTTAAGAAACTGAAAAATTTACATGTATAAGAGCATTATATCTATCATATCATCTGACCTACATGAAACAGATCACAAAATAACTTTGAGTATATGCATAATCTATGTACTTTTGTGCGTTAAAGTACCATTTTTACTACATACCAATGAAAATGCAAGAAAAATCATTAACAGAGCAGAATACTGGCAAAGAACTAAACTGTGGTGTTAGAAAGAGTATGCCTGTATGGGGCACACAAATTGAAATAGTCTAATTATGCACTCTTCTATTGTGAGAAAGTTGGCAATGGTCATCGTAGACCTATTAATGAAAACTTTCTTATATGCAAAGAATTAGAGTGTGAAAACAAGTTATAAAACCAAAGAAAATAATAACAGATTCATAAACAAAAAATCACCTTTAGGTTTCTGTTGTATTGTAAGACAACTAAGCAAAGATCTGCTGTCAAAACCAAAAGTCTTCTTTCCATACGCCTTTACTTGTTATTCATGACACATATTATGATTCTTAAATGTCAAGCCCTTTGACAGAACAGAGCGCTGTAGTAGAGTAATTGCTAAATAATTGTTCCATCCTATCCTTTTTTTTCTGGATGAAAAAAATAATTAGTTTCCCAATTTAATTTCAGAGGCTCTGTGATATTTCTATTTGAACAGTAGTTAAATTATAGTCTGTTGGTAAATGAACATATTCAGCAGAAATTGGACTTGTAGCAATGTTTTAGGGTCATCAAATAGGTTTTCAAAAGGTAACCCTTTTTCCCCCGCAAGTGCTGCTGATGATGTTTGAAGGCTCCAAATCATTGATGTTTGAAAATCTCTGTCTCACAGCGGGTTTTTTTTTTTTTTCAGTGACTTAGTTTGTGAGATAGTATAAGTAAAAGTCAACATTCACCCTCAAAGAGCTTTGTGTTTCACCATTGCCTTCCAGACACTGCTTACAATATTCAGTTTTCATTCTATTGAATCATTTGTTTTAATAAGCAAAAACTCATTGTAGTAATAAGCAATTTAATAGTTGTGACAACCACCCATAGATTCCAAATATTTTGAGCTATGAAATGACAGTGTCCTGGGGGGAATCCTACTGAAATACCACCACTTCTCTGTAGATTAGCAAGGAGGTAACACAGACCTGCATTTACCTAGAAAATAGTGTACTTAAAGTAACATTATTCAAGAGCACATCAGGATGTGATTAGTCAAGATCAAGTTGAAGGCCTTGAGCAGGTGAGTGTGCTCCAAAACAACATGCAATAGTTCAGCATAAGTAATGAGAGAGGATAGGCTGAAGTGATGGTCTCCAGAACATGCATGGTGGCATCTAAATGTTCATGTATTCCATTCTGATCTGTTTGTTTGCTTGATTGCTTTTTCTTTTTGGCAAATACCTTTGTCATAGATTACTTAAAAATGGTAGACAACAATAATATTAGCTATTAGCTAGATGTGATGCTTGTACCTCCCGTGTGACTCTTGCGGGTCAGGTTGATTCTCACACTAATAACTTGAAAAGTCCCTTTGAAAACACAACGAGAGGCTGAGACCTGGCACTGTTGGGCCTGGAGGACAGCAGGCCTGTGGGGGAGCCTCTCAGTGCACGTGAACAGGAGAAGTTAAAGAGGATGGAGCAGCCTCTTCTCCCTGGTATCTTGTGAAAGGACAGGCCACAGGCCACAGACTGAAATGACAGAAAATCCGTTTAAGCAGAAGCAGCAGCTTTTTCACTCTGAGTTGACCACAGCAGGATGGCTAGAGGGGTTGTGGAGTCTCCAAGGAGACTCCACAACCTCTCTGGGCAGCCTGTTCCAGTGCTCTGTCACCCTCACTGTTAAGAACTTTTTCCTTAAGTTCCTATGGAATTTTTGGTGTTTCAGTTTCCGGCCATTTCCTCTAGTCCTATCAGTGGCCACCACTGAAAAGAGACCATCACTGTCCTCTGCACTCCCTCCCTTGAGGTATTTATATACACTGATTAGATCCCCTCTCAGCCTTCTCTTCTCCAGGCTGAACAGGCCCAGCTCCCTCAGCCTCTCCTCACAGGGCAGATGTTCCAGGCCCCTGAAAATATTCAAAACTCCTGTGGACTCAGTTCTGAGCAATTTGTGGCCCCTTGTGATCCCCACCAAACTCAGCTGCTCCAAGTGTTATTTCCTTGCCAGTGGCTGTGATGGCAGCCTTACTCATCATTAAATAGCTACTCTGATAGATTTGGATCCCATACGTACTTTTAACCTGCCACTGGACCCTCTTACAGGAACTTTCTTCCAGCTGCTTTTCCCTATTGAAATGTAGCTCCCCATTTTTCTATGGATAAAGGAATGAACTCTATTGTTGTGGCATCAGGAGGGGTGTAGAAGCTCATTAGGACACAGCTCCTTTCTCTCAATGTTTTTTCTTCACCTCCCTCTCTTTATACAATTTATAATACCCTGGGGGTTCATACATCATTTGAGTTTCTGAGGGGAAGAGAATTATGCTCTTGCTCTCTCACTTTTCCTATATTGTGAGAGGATGCTTCATACCGTAGTCAGCACTATTGATTTTTTGCAGCAGAAAATTACTTTTTCCTGGATAGTTCTTAATTAGTCACTTGCATCCCATGACTAGCCCAGTCCCAGCACTCAGCTCATGCAAAAGCATCAGAAACAGAGCTATTCATCCTGGTGCAGAAGTTCAAGTTTACAAACAAGTAACTGAATTTATGATATATTTTGATATTATTATGCATAATGATTATGTAGCATTGTTTTCTTCCATAAAAGGGACTAACATGACCCAGTGTCCCTCTTCCAAGTATAAAAATGAAACTAACTAAAAGTTCCATATTTTTTATCACAGATTTTCCACTTTAATTTCTGAACATAGTATAGCAGAAGCTATATATGAACCTGAAAGATATTTTTCATATTTTAACCTATTTTATATTTTTTCAAAATAATTTAACTGCTGTTTTATGAAAACATGCTGTATGTATAACAGAACAAAGGTAACTAAGTAAACCTGAAAAGAAAAAAAAAATCAATAAGTGTCGCTGAAAAAGTAAACTATGGAAGAAAACACAGAAAAAAACCAACTAGCAGGGTGATCAAAAAACTGCAGAACCAATGGGGCATAGACTGGAAAAAGATAGATTGGACTAGGAACAATTATTTTAAGGTAGTCTCAAAGACACAAAAAATAGCATAAATGGAAACAAGACATATTCAATATTTTTCCATGCTTCTGCAGCAATTTGAATAAATATGAACTTGTAAATTTAAAGTTATGAGAACAAAGACATTCAGGAATTGAACTGAAGGTCAAAATTTCTACTGTAATCCGGTTAAAAATATTGACTAGAACATGAATCAAATGAGCATTTTTTTTTTCCTGGGTATCTGTTTATTTCAAAGGATGACCACACTTGCACAAAATGTTATTTACCTTGTTAAAATGCAGTGAAGTTTAACTTCTTGTCTAATCTTGTCCAGTTCTAAATAGCCTTTCTCCCGGAAAAAACTATCACTAAAAAACTGAGTAGCTAAAACTAGTTAAAAAAACAAAAGCACCCCAAAAACAAATACTCAATTACTGATTCTGGGTTTAATAAATTGTTAAAATAGAAATTGTATTTTACTTTGCAGGCAAAACATAATAGGCAAGATTAAACACCTCTGCCATTCAAAAAACCATCTGGATTGCGGATTGTTTTCAGCTAGTTTAAGTGTTTGTGGTGATTGATATTTGCATCACAACTTTGTTGCCAAGATACAGAGTATAATTATTGTACAGATAGTGAAGTAATTATGATAACCTTGTTTCTGATCTTTCCCTGTAGGATTTTGGAGATGATGGGTCCTTGTACATTACTAAAGTTACCACAACCCATATGGGAAATTACACCTGCTATGCTGATGGTTATGATAAGCTCTATCAAACTCATTTTCTCCAAGTGAATGGTAAGGAAGGTTGTTCTAATTACCAACTCATAGGAGATTTGGCTTTGGGTTTCATTAAGTAGCTTTGTTGTTTCTGTTTTACTTTTCAATATTGTGTTACAGCTGGAAAGAAAAGGAGATATGAATGTTTTTCCTCATTCCTCTATAAATGAGCTTTCAAAACAATAAAATATAATCTTTTTCATTTAGTATTCCTGTATGAGTAATACTTATTAGAATAAGATAAGTCCAGAGGATTTGTTCTGTACGGTGAACTGTTCATTTATGTGCGTGATTAAGATGTTATCTGTAAAATAAGAATTTTTTATTAAAAATGTAGCTTTGAGTACCAGTTTAATAGCTCTGAAAAACACCCTGGGAAGAGTATAATCTATTGGTCTCTTGTGCTAAAACATTTTGCATTTAACATAGCATTTATATATGGATATGTATGCTATATATAATTATATTGAATGTGTTTTTATTAGGAAGGTATAGAGCTATAATATCTGTTTAGAATTGATGATGGATTGGAATATCAGGCTGGACTGTTGCACTTTGTATCATTCAGGTCATTTAAAGCTGCCCAAATTGCCTGGTCCCATTTCATCTACCCATAGAGCTGGTCTTCCACAAGAGTGGTTTCTCTTGCACAAGAGTGGTGCAAGGTTTGGAGTCACAAAACCTGAAATCCAATTCCTGGTCAAATGAGAGGTCTTCCCCATTTCATATCTGTGTACGTGAGCAGCAATCTTCCTAAACACGAGCGTGATGGTCAATACTTATAGCCGTGATAATGACTAATTAATAAGATGATACTTCCTAAGCACAAGCATGATGGTCAGTGCTTAGAGCCATGGTAATGACTAATTAATATGATGACACTTGTATTAACAGAAGAGTCAGATAAAGGTTAATGAGATTATGAGGCTTCATTGGGCTCTATAAAAGCAATGTAATTAGATTTTAAGCTCTTTCCACATGTGCATTTCTGTAAATCTGTATTTGCTTATAAATAATAATTATATAATTTGCATTGAATGCTTTGCAAATATTTTACATATATGTATATTTTTTAATTTCAAGATTAAACTGATTAGGATTTTTTTTAATCTACAAACTTTTTTTTTTCATTTCAAAGGAATAGTTAGACTCTATTGTGATCACTAAACAATACATATAATCAGCACCGTAAAAAATAAAAAGAATGTTTTATGTGTAGAAATTTCAATCTTTAATTTTGTATAAACAATGTGTAAGTGAATATTTTAAGTAATATTGTAGCAAGTTGATATTTAATCCACTATAAAAAGATACAGTAATACAAATTGTACAGGAATAACTGCTTAACTGTTAACTGTTTATGTTCTGTATAATACTTAATGCCTTCAAAGGATACAGTTTTGTGGTTTTGTGAACATTTCTGTTTGGGGGGGCAGCCTTCCAGTTCATGTTATCAGGGTTTTCCCTTCTGCTGTTTTACACATCATATACATGTAGCATAAAGCCCTGATTTAGGAGGTCAGGTAATGATGGGCCTGCTTAATGGTTTTAATGCTATTTAAAGACAAAGAGAGGCTATGGAATTCACTCTCCCATAAATTATTTATAATATCAATAATTTGTTTTTAAAATCCTTCTTTACTGAAAAAGCAAACAGTACGATGGATTAATATAAATGCAGAGGTGAGGCATCTGTACTCGAGAAGCATTTATGCTATTCTGGAATCCTCATTCTTACTTGTTAGCCTCTGATTTTTTTTTTTTCTGCTGCAGCTATTCAAGAAACTACCTGGAAATGCTGGTAGAGTTCTTTGAAACATAGTAAACTGTGGCCAGAGCAAAATAATTGTAATTACTTCTCCCTAGAAAGCTGTTTCAGGGTGTTAATATATTAGTTTAACCACTTCATGTAATCATCATTCAGCTATATGGGATATTTACACATCATTTAAATAGTTTGAATAATAAAATAATTTTTTTCTTATGACTGGATCCTCTTGCTTATGTTAATTGAAAGTATTAAGGGATCATTGTTAAGAGTAATTACTGCTTTTTGTTATGTTCTTAGAATTATATAAATGTGGTATCCCTAGAACAGCTTGTACAAACAGAAGCTGTGGATGGTGTTTCTTCTACGTCAGAAATAGCAATTGGAAAAGCTGAAAGACCTCAGCAAGACTGGCCTTCCTCATTCATTTAGTGCTCACCCAGTTATGTACCTATGCTCTCCATAGCCAGGGGTTTTAATCTTATTGATAACATTTCACAGTCTAAGAAAAGTTATTACATAGAGTGTTAGAAGAACCTAGTTAGGCTATATATTAAGGATGAAGGATATAAAAAAGTATATAATATTTTGTATAAAGGTAATAATATGTATTATTTATATTTATATTATATTTATCCTTATTATTATTATTATATATATATTTATATAAAGATATATATATATATATTTTTCTAAACAGATACCTCCTCTGTGGATTCCATACAGCTTGAAGAGACTCTTTTTCTCTCATAATTTTTTTCGCATTAGACATGATTGAAGTAGTCTCCAGGGATTTTTATAGCAATTGTAGGCTGCGTTGCATAGTTATATATTCACCGTATTTGGAGCCAGTAGTCTGCGTTGAGCTGCACGATTGGGGATGTCGGATGGGCACCTCTTTGCTTCATTCACTTATGTGTTACGTGAGGGTCTACCAAAGCAAGTCATGCAACCTTCTCCACTTCCCAAAGGTTTTTAACCCATGTAGTGACCACACTCTTGTGAAGCAGACTACTTTTGGTTAAAGTACCAGCATGTGCCTCTTTAAAATTCAACATTAACAATCAGTTTTCTTCCATATGTCAAATTTGCTTTCTGTGAATAGTTATGCTCAGTCACACACACAAAAAAAAGGTAATTGAAATAAACCCGAAGAGGTGAGAAGCACAGACACATCAAAAGCATTTTTGAGACTGAACTAGTGCTAAACGAATGTTTCGGTGTCAGGTGCACAGTTCTTCAGAACATATTACAGGTAGCTTCTAGGATAATATGAGATCAAAAATGGAAATGCAAGACAAGTATTACAAAATGCAAATTGTGCACAGATTTGCTGAAGAAAGTTGGAGAAGGGAAATTGAGGAAAAAATAGGGCAAGAATTTACGACTTTTGCTGTGACTTTGGGAGTCACCGTCTCTGCCGCAGCCTTGGTGTCCCAGGGGTATCACTGGGGCTGGAAAAACACCACCGAAGGGAATAGCATCCATGCCAGAAAGATGGGATAATAATAAAAGAAAACTCAGACATACCTTCACGGTTATCTTGACCTTTACATTTCCTGACCATTTCCAGTGGTTAATTTAGCAACAACAGCATCTTCTAAAGTAGGATTTTTATCCTGGTGCTTGTTTTTGTTCTGATTAGGAGATTTTTGACTGTCTTGCTTATTTTCTAAAAACTTTGCGAAGAATGAAAGAGGCCAGAAAGTTACCATCTGCCAACAGCAGATGCCTACAGCTACTAGAGTTTTGGCACCTACAGCCTGGTTTAACTGATGGTAAAGAAGGATGCGTAACTCACCCTTCTTAGGAGGAGTATATATTTCAAAGGCAGCATGTATCTGTTGGTTTCCTTCAGGATAGATGGTAAACCTCCTCTTTTGAGGTTCAGGTTTCCTTCCAGGCTGTGTATGTTCCCAGTGGTGTGCGAGGCCTTGTGAAATAGCAAATTTTGCCAAAAGCACAGAATTATTAAATTGCTGTGTTTAGCATGTACGATCTGATTTGGGAAGTAAACAAGAACGGGAGCAGCAGCTGGAGTCATGACAGACTGATGCTTTTCATTATAAAATACTGCTCTCAGTTGCTTATAACTTTGTGTAATGTAAACCCTTCAGGCTGAAATATTCCGTACTGGATATTTGCCTAAAATATCTATTTAATTTGCAGCTAAATCATCTAGGGGATTCTGAGTATAAGGTTGAGGGGAAATACACTTTTATTTTTTCCAAACTAAAATTATATGTTTATATTTTTTTCCAGTTACTGAAAATTCTCCAAAATTTGACTTTGAGAATTTTCTGTTCACACTCCCTCAGTAGCAATTGATGGGATGTGATGGATTTCATCCACAAGAAGGTTGTTGCAACAGAGGCAGTAGGTGTACAATGGCCTGCAATGTCTGGCATTTAGTTCTGGAAGGTTCTGAGACCCTGTGGGCGCCTGGGAGAAAGAGCTAACAGCAGCAATATCTGTGGGGACATCCCAGCAAGACGGAGAAGGAAGCCGTTTGGTTTGGATGCAGGGGGAAATCCTGCAACAGGGGTAGATTTGCCAAGGAAATGACCTATGTTGAGAAAGGCTGAATGGGGCAGGGGGTAAAACGGGGCTCTAGGGAGGGAATCGGAGTAGGAGCAGGAGGGAAAAAGAGGCTCAAGCACCTGAGTGGGTTTCCCAGCAAGGAAAACGTGTCCCAAGGGGACACACACACGTGATGTGGGAAAAGACCTGCTGGGAAGAGCTGGAGAGGAAGGGGACTGGGAGCCGCAGGCTGGAGATGAGCAGAAGTAGAACCTCTGGGCCCATAAAACAAGTTCCCTTCCAGAAGACAGATGGAAACCTTAAATCTCCAGTTTTTATGTGGCCATGCTCTCAGCTGGGAGTCTGAGCAACTAGCAGTCACAATTCTCGTGTTTTTCAGTTTCTTCCATGCTCTTTTCATATATTTCATAGTTTGCATGTAGGGCTTATGTGTAATATTCCATGCATATTATTTGACCTTCACCATTTTTAAAAAATATCCCTGAAACCTACTATTTTTACTTTCGGAGATGCAGTAGAGTCTGAAGCAAACTGATGCTCTAATAGGACATCCTGCTGGATTGTTTCTTGTAAACAGTTGGATAGCATTTGGAAATACTTAAACTCTTGCTGAAATGGTCACAGTTAATTTTTGATCTTGTTATCTCTTTTTCATAATCAACTGATACTTCATCCTCTACCCTGCTGTGGTTTGTGACACCACCAAGGTGTTTCATATTTTTATAACTATATTAAATAATGCTTTGGGGATCAGGGAATATGTCTTTTTAACTTTTTTTACAGATTTTTTTTTCTTTTTTTAAGAAACTCCCACAAAATAGTTCTGTCTGTGTGTAGTGACAGATCAACGATTATTCATGTAAAAAATCAAAATAGCAAGAGAGTCATTGATTACCAACAGGAGTATTTGCCCTCTGATATCATATGCCCCTTCTCTACCATTACTGATGCAATAAATAATAGACTTGGTTGATGAGCATGAATGGTAACCAGCTCACAACCCTTGGCAAAGTGACCATTCTTATTTTTCACTAATAGTGAAATTTAGAATACTAGAATAGCCTACATACCACTAATGCTCAAAAAGAAATTGCTTAAGCCAGATACCTTAGCACTATCACTTAAAATGAACTGATCTCATGTTCAGATTCAGATAGTGTGAGATATTCTACAATAAAGCCCACAGCCATCCAGTCAGATCTGTAATTTTGAAAAATGGCTACATACACTTATGTTTATATGCTGATTAAGATTAATAATTCATTTATTCAGTTGATCTGCCTAACAGGTTAAGAAATACAGTACTAAATAATTTGTATGATATAATAAACTATGATTTTTATTACTTCTAAAAGTGTAGCCTTTCATTATAGGGTTATTTTCTTAATTACAATACTTACAAAAATAGAAAAGTCTAGATGAAACCTGAATGTCCCCATGGTCCAGTAACATACATCTAACACTACATTATATAAAGGAGGCAAGATTTTCTCTTTCAGTAGGCATAAGAAATCCCCTATAGACATATGGTATATATGTAATCTGTGATCTTAGTGTTTTGCATCACTTCAGAATAGTATCATTTACTATAGCTAAAAAGAGTGTTAAGTATTATAAACAAGGTTACATTAATTGCACAGGCGATAGAGATTGCTAAAACATGTTTTGAGGAGTAGGAAGAAAGATGGAGGTGGAAAAGTTAAAATGCTTGTTAGAAAGGACAGTTCCAATCTCTATATATCATGCTATAACTTACAGTCACATCCTCGTACGTTCCACACTACTCACTTCTTTTTAATAAAGAAATCTAAAGAAAAATATCAATCTTAGTACAAAAATACAGACCTAGTGAATTAAAACTCAACCTTGTAAGTTGATACTACAGGCAGTGAGAAGAGGTATTTCTTATTAAATATACTTCTGCCTCATAAATTTATTGTGACAGAGTTTGGTGTTAAATGTCACTGAATATGTGACGGATATCACACTGCATTACAGTGGTGTTATATATAGCTGTGGGAGTCTACAGGAATCTTTAGAGTTACTTTATTATTATTATTATTATTATTATTATTAAATGAAGATAACGTTCTTCTCCACTGAATGCTGTTTATTTTCTGCCTGTAGTTCCCCCCGTCATCCGAGTGTATCCCGAGAGCCAGGCCAGGGAGCCGGGGGTGACAGCCAGCCTGCGGTGCCACGCTGAGGGCATTCCCAACCCACAGCTGGGCTGGCTGAAGAACGGCATCGATATCGCTCCAAAGTTATCCAAACAGCTCACCCTTCAAGGTAAAGGGCCATATTTATTATTTGCTCTATTATTGTATTCTTTTCTGTACTAGATCTCCTGCTCACGCGGTTTTAGCCAAGGGTTGAAGTGTAAACACTTCAGGAGACGTATTCCACTTACTCTTCAAAATGCATCTCTGCTTTCTCTTCATTGGAATATTGGTGGCGTCTATTGGCAGAATTATCCATAAATTCTCTATTCAAAAATATGCATTTTTTTTAGTACAGCAAGCAGCCTAAGACCCTGTCCCAAATACAGTATTGTTGTTTGATTTTAAAAATGCTCATAATCATTTAAACAGTTCTCAAATGCCAAATTGATATTAGCTTCCAAATTGCAAAATCAGATGAAATATTCCTGTTATCTGTGAGATGAATAATAGTATACATCGTTCCCTAACCCGTCGAATACTTTTGCAGTAGTTTGGCAGGCCTCCAAGTTATGAACTCAGGAAGGAAAATGGTTTAATTAGCATAAGATGAAAAAGCCTTCTGAATGTATAATCTGAAAGCACTGTAGCAAAACAGAAGTGTTTTGTTCGCATGCTGAATTTGTCCTCTCCTTTCAGCAAATGGCAGTGAGGTTCACATCAGCAATGTGCGCTATGAAGATACAGGAGCCTACACTTGTATTGCAAAGAATGAAGCAGGGGTGGATGAAGACATTTCTTCTCTTTTTGTGGAAGATTCTGCTCGAAAGACCCGTACGTATTCTGAGAAATATATATTAAAAAAATGTCATGCTTGCGTAGCATTAGAAGAAAATTTGTATTAAAAATAAGCATGAAACATTAAATAAATTGAGTACTTCTTGATAGCTGATTTTAAAAAAAAAGTTCAAATAATGATGATGAGTCAAAGAAGGAAAAGGGCATAATTGGTGTTAAAATTTATATCATTTGTAGATTAAAGGATTGTCACATGTGAAGGAAATATGAAGGAGGAAGAAACAACCAGATTCCTAAATAAGGCAGGGAAGTAGCTCTGGTAGGTGGGGAATTTTTTTTTTTTTTCTAGTTTTTCTTCCTTTGTGGGCATCATGTATCAAGGGTCAGATTTGGCTCTTACAGTATAACAGTCATCACAGGAGTTGATCTGAGCTGGAGCACTGAAGCATTTCCAGATCTCCTGGCCCAGGCAATCCTGGGCCTTCCAGAACTCCAGAACTCTTTTCCCCCAGGAAGGTGGAGCAGCAGTGCTACCATTTACTCGCTAGGCTGGGAATTCAGTGCACCAAAGAAATGTGCATACCAGCACCCTAAAGTGGTTTTATTTATGATTTCTTTATATTGAATAGGAGTGGGGCTGATGCACCCTGTTTACTTGTCTTTCTTGATAATATTTTCCACTTCCTTTTCTTTTGCCTGCTCAGAAAAATCCATCTTTTTTTGTTCCAGCTTGAGTCCTAAAGAGAAAAAAATAATAAAAAAATATTTTAATGAATGCTATATATATTCATTGGAAATAGATCTAGTAAAATGATAGTTACTTTACTAGTAAGTCTGAATGCATTAACCTAAGGGATTTCTATTTATCTGGAAGCTTATTCAACAACGATGAGTATTTGGGAGATCCCACAGCAGAATTAGTGTCACTGCAAGGTCGTGTGACACTTCCTATCATAAGACACTGAGTTCAGCTATGTATAGGTTTATTAGGCTTTAAATATTTGCAAAGAAATGTTCCATGCAGGAAAGTTTTGTAACACGAAGGTTAATGTATTTACATAGCTACTTTGAGTAGCACTAGTTATAGCTGTCATTTCTAAAGTCTTAGCATGTGTTTCTATTTTCTTCTCTCTCTGTTTATTCATTTATTTATTTGTAAGAGCATCATAAAAATGGCTGCTTAGACATTCTGAAACTGAGGATAAATAAATTATTTTGGTCATTTCGAAATTCTAGTAATCTGATGTTATGAAGTGGCTGTATTACCTCCTTTTGTCTCTAGCAGTCCGGAGAGAGGATAAAACAGATATGACTGCTACCAAGTCACAAGAGTAGCCTCCCCTATGCAAAATATTGCTTACAGCAAGAATTTTAGTTCACCTAACTTTACAGGGTTTGTAAAATCCCACATCATGCACTGTCTTTTCAACCCTTGCAACAAATGCGTTCAAGCCAGCAGCAGTAAGGCAGAAGTTCTTAGGGTAATCAGTGACATGAAAGATGTAAATGAGGGAAGACAGAATATATGCCTGATTCTGTCTGAGATAATTCATCACCGACGCTTTCATGCCTAGAAAATTCATTTACTTTAAGTTATGTGTCGTACGTCTGAGAGGCATTTTATCTGAGATGTGTTCCTACGTGTCTGAGCATGGTGTGCTAAAAACTGGTAGTTGTGGAAATACTGGCCTAGTCTAGGAATGTATCAGAATGGTAAAATACAGGTGTGACAGGTAGTTACACAAGATGATACTCTGATTCCAAAACCCATTTCTGCACATGCAAATAAAAGTACTAATGAAAAAGAGCAATTATTGTCAATATCGGTATCCCAATACCTGCAGTCTGCTCTCACAAGTACAAGTTTTGACAGACATCAAAGATACTCGCTCACTTCTTGCTGGAAGTTCTGCTTTTTAAGTCCTTTTACAAAGATATCTTTCTAGGTTTAGAAAAACTGAAATTACAGTATAATGTTTTACATGTGATTTCGTATGATTTAATATAAACTGCTATAGATTTTTTTTGAATCTGCTTTAAACCTGTTTTAAGGAAAGAAAGCAAACGTTCAATTTCTTAGTGAAGCTTTTTATTTCTTGACCTTTTCTTTTTTTCTTACAAAAGCCTCCCTTCTGGAAATCTTATATAGAATGTTGCTTTAGGTGACAGCACAACAGCTTTCTGTTCTCACTAGCTAGGCAGTTAATCTGGATTTCTCTGCTTTTCAAATGTTATACAGGGTAAAATTCTTCACCAAATAAAAGCGTTGCAGATAATTGACCTGATTGATTATTGAGAAAGTATTGACAACAGTGAACCTCCAAAGTGTTAAAACTATAATTGCATTTTGTTAAGCTTTATAAAGCACATAGTGAACTTCAAACATGATGCTATTTTTTACCAGTCTATGTATTTTATTTCTTAGAAAGGCAATATTCAAAGTGAATGTTCACTAAATTTTTAGTAAAAAAGTAAAATAGGTGGCAGAAGAGACATGGCTACCTCATTCCTTTGGGAATGAATAATACCTGCTGGCGTAAACATATCTTCAGAGAAAATCTTACCTTTTCTAGTATTTCTGTCTAAATTAGAATCAGTGCCATTATAGATAAAAACAGACTGCTAAATAATATGCAGGGCTTTTCTTCAACCATGTGCCTAAGTTGTTAGGCTTTCCAAGGGGCTACATGCATATTTACTGTTTGTGTCTATTACAAACAGAAAATCAAAGAAAACCCCCCAAAAAACAAGGAGGGAGTGAAGGGCAAACCTATACTGATTTGCGAGAATTGTGTTGCTAGTAGCAAAAATAAAAATGCATAGTGCAAAATATGACTTGGAAGAGCAAGGGCGTTGTGTATTTTAAGCGTGCTGCTGGTACAGAAATTTGATCCATTCCAGTTTTCAAGAAAAGTCAGTGTATTTCAGTGATAATGATTTGTCATCAAGGTGGTAATTTGAGATTAACATTAATGAAAAGTAGTGTTTTGTTGTACAGCTCTGCCAGTACTAAAATGAAGGTTTGTTCTGTCATTCCTTGGTAAGACTTTTAAAAAGGATGACAGTCTCAAGAATATTTTGGGCTTTACTTAGCACTTAAGCCTATTACAATGTGAACTAAAAATAAAACTTCTGAAAGTATGTTTTCATTTTGGCAGAGCCTCTGGTGAGAAGAATTAAATGTTTTTCTTTAAAATAGCTTAGCTTCAGCATATTGTTTTACCAGTAATCTCATTTTGTAGGAATGACTTGATTCATTTAACATCTTTGTCCAAGTACATGCATGTTTTTGATAGATAAATAGATTGTGATGTAAATTGTTAGTTTATATTATCTTGTCCCAAACATCTGCTATAAAGTCTGCTGACAAATGTCTGGTACTGTCTATTTTCAGTTGTTCTAATGTCAGGTGGAAACATTTAGGTTGAAACATTTAATTGCTGCTGTCTCAAACATATATATATATTTAAATATATCTGATAATATGCTATCACCACTCCTGCAACAGATAATATGTAGAAAACATGCTTGTTTGTTTGTTTTTCATTATATTAAGAATGCTATATTCATTTAGTGATAGCTTTTTGTATTGTAGTCTGGATTCACATGGGCAGGTTCTCATGGGAATGTGCTCCAATAATGTGGGAATACTTTCTCCAGAGGTGGACGTAGTAAAATTCTCCAAACAATCCATGATTTAGATGTTGAGTAGGGACTTCAGGGTCTGGTAGCTTTCTGCAGGTGTCATCTGCACTTTGTACACCCAGTCTTTAGGACCATCGAAGCAGAGAGAACTCTCAGCGAGTGCTTAAATGCAATTTAAGCAATGAACGTGTAAGGAAGTGTTCTTCAGGCTTTGAAATGCGTTGCTTCTACATCAGATCTGAAGGAAAGTCTTGTCTGCATGAAGACCTGCCTACTTTTTCCAACTATGGCGCTTGGTGAAGGGCCTGGCTCTTGGTGACCTCCTCATACCTCCTCGTAACAACCTCCTGGTTGGTGTAGGCCTCTCCAGACTCGCTCTTCTCCAGGATGAACCAGCCCAGTTCTCTTGTTAAATTCCTACCTGTTGTGCATACTTTTCATGCCATGGTCTTTGTTCACTTTTCCAGCTAGGCCTTTGCCTGAGAATTCATAGGATTTTTTTTTTAATCTCAATTGGAAAGAATACTTTAGTGTGAGAAACCTTGGCCTTGGACAGAAAGTGGATGTTTCATGAGAATATTATAATTTAATTGGAAACTGCTTATGATCATTATGGTTTGTGGGGTTGGAGGGCTTTTCCCATCAGATATTGATCTCATCTGTGTTAATTAACATTTTAGATTAATATAGAAAGCATGAATACTAATTACCTCTGTATTTCTGATGCCTCCTGATTGGGTCCTCATGCAGCTTTTCAGAATATTCATTTTAACATATTACGACTTTCGTGCTCAGCAAGAAGCATCCCACAAAGGTAGTGATTAGATCTGTTACATCCTATACCTGCAGCAGTGCTGTCTAAAATATTTATGGGTATAAGAACTATTTTAACTCTCCAGAGACTGGGAACTTTCAGTGCTGCAAATTCCATTTTCTCTTAAGTTTTGGTTAAAGCCTTCGAGCAGGAGATGGCTGTGAGATAGCTGGATAACCCTGAGGTGACTGGTGAAAACCATTCGGAGAGATAATGATCCAATGTAAATCTTAATGAAGATAAAAGTGTCTCCCCCACTGTCCCGATCCTCTAATCATATCTTAGAGAACTCAGCTGTATGGAAAATAGTGTCTGGTGTAATCATGACTGTTAGACCCCTAGCAAATTAAAATCTGGTTTTAGTTTCATTCAGTTTGTTTTTTTTTTCTTCCAGAAAAGATGTTTCATAGATTCACAAAATTTCAGCTTGACAGAGCCACCATCTCATTCTAATCTATCTTCTCCATTTCGCAAGACATTAAATTTCATCCTGTTATGCCTGAATGCAGATCTAATGCTGTGTTTGCTTAAAGCCTATCCTCCCAGAAATTCATTTAGACCAGAGTTAAAAATGCAA